AGTCTCTGTGTGAGTGTCTGTGTGTGAGTGTCTGTGTGTGAGTGTCTTTGTGTGTGAGGCTCTGTGTGAGTGTCTGTGTGTATATGTGAGTGTCTGTGTGTGAGTGTGTGAGTGTCTGTGTGTGTGAGTGTCTGTGTGTGTGAGTGTCTGTGTGTGAGTGCCTGTGTGTGAGTGTCTGTGTGTGAGTGTGTGAGTGTCTGTGTGTGTGAGTGTCTGTGTGAGTGTCTGTGTGAGTGTCTGTGTGTGAGTGTGTGAGTGTCTGTGTGAGTGAGTGTCTGTGTGAGTGAGTGTCTGTGTGTGTGAGTGTCTGTGTGTGTGAGTGTCTGTGTGTGAGTGTCTGTGTGAGTGTCTGTGTGAGTGTCTGTGTGTGAACCTCGACGGAGGAGACGGGGGCCGCGTGTGGAGCGCGCCTCCAGAGCCACGCGGCCGCCGCCGCCGCTGCGGCGCACGTTGCCTCGAGTCCCAGCGCCGTGCGGATGGCAGCGGCAGCGGCGGGGGCGGGTGGGGGGTGGTTGGATCGCGCGCGGACGTCGCGAAGCGCCCTGTCCCGCGGCCTGTGAAGGCGGTGCCGCACTCTGGCTCGCCAGGAGAGAGCGGTGCAGCAGCAGCAGCACGTGGACTCCATCGGTTCCGTGCGTATGGGGACAAAGTGGTGTCCCGTCGCACGCGCAGGGTTTCTCGCGGTGCTCCGGCTTTCTCTTTCTACGTGGACACTGGTTGTTAACCTCAATATATGGAGGCCCACGGAGCTTGGAGGGAAGAGTTGGGAATTTGACGCCGGCTCACCGCTCGTCCGTTGTTTCCTCCTCCCGGTGCCTCTGAGTCGTCCTCTCTCTTCGAGAGCGAGGAGCCAACACCGTGCAGAGGTTACGCGTTGCGAGTTTAAATAAAATATATATTGTTATGAAACCTGTGGATATGTCACACTCTACTCATTCTGTTGGGACGGTGTCTCTCGTCGCTTACAGATTTGAAGATGGATGTCGCGCACCCCGTGGAACTGAAGACGATCCCACGGGAACGCCGCGCATTCTCTCAAAGCCGTGCGTCGGTGTGATCTGACACCTCTGCCTGGATGAAGGCCTCGATTCGTGGTGGTTTTTTGGTTAACCATACTTCACCACTGTGGTCAGCGCGGGTTGGTGAAGAGGTTGGATGGGGGGGCAGGAGTGGTTCAGAGATCACTCGCCACTGATGTTAGCCGTGGTTTGGAGTTTAACTTGGTCAGCCGGGTTTTAATAAAAGTTATTATTCACGAGACACACATATGGTGTGTCGCTTCGTACGTCTGCTTGGGCAAGAGTGCGCATGCAGACGTTTACACAGCCACCACGTCAATCATCATCATCTATTCAGACTCTCAAATATTCAGCACAACACATTGGGGCGCCACGGTGGCGAGATGTTATCGCCCTCGCCTGCTATACAGGAGGTTGTGGGTTCGATGCCTGCTGTATGTTTAGAGTTTGCATGTTCCCTCTCCCCGCGGTCGCGTGGATTTGTCCCCGGGTCTTCCGGTATTTCACTCCACATTTGGAATCAACATCACGCGTTTGTAAGTCTGTGTGTTGAACCTTTTCCGCACCGTACGTAGCCAACCGGCTGCTATAAATGCCCACGTGATGATAAGCCACTTCGTTGAGCTATCAACTGTGGCCAGGTCGCTTCTGAAAAAAAAATCTGTATAGCTCAGTGGGTCTTACCTGCTAAAATAAAACGTGTATAGTTTCACCGATTCATACACAGCCTTAGGAGTGCACGTATTGTCGTTCACAAAGAAACCAATTCATTTTGGCCTGAACCATTCCCATTCACAGTCACCCACTCACACATGACCATTCACAAAATGTCATTCACAATTTCATGCACTCACGTCTGCCCCATGCGACCTCAAGCATATACGCGATTGCTCGCATCTCATGTATTCATGAAGTCGCTTAAACCACATCACCATTCACCAAACCACTTCACGCTCTCATTACATACTCAGGCTCACATTGCAAGTCTTGGCGGTCCATGTGCACGCCGCCTTACACATGAACAAGGCTTATCCGTACACAGAGTCACAATCTCATACGCAGTCTTAGCCATTCACACATTCGCTGCACGCTCATATTTCTTCGCACTTGGCGACGCATTCACAACGCATCACGCTCGATCTCGTTCGTATCGACAGCTTCGATACCTGGTCCCGAAAGTGGAAGTCTTAGCCCCCGGGGGCCGGCTACCAAAGCAACAACAACAACAAAAGGTAAACAAAAACTCGAATTCGGTCAAAAACCCCGTGCGGTGAATACGAGAGACGGTGGTGATCCTTAATGAGTGACGTCACGGAGCGAGTCCTTAATGAGTGACGTCACGGAGTGAGTCCTTAATGAGTGACGTCACGGAGAGAGTCCTTAAAAGAGCCGCAGGTTGCCGACTCCCTTGTCGGCGGCTCATCGCATTCACTCAGTCCATCACCCATTGGCACGTCCCAGGTGGGGCACTCTCTCTTCTCTCTCTGCCGTCTTCACCACGTCTCGCCCGTCCACCGTCTCACAATTCACCGCCACGCAGGAGCCGGGCCGGCTCAAGGCGTGGGGGGCTTTAGGGGGCTGCAGCCCAGGGGTTCTCCGCCAGCCGGAGTGCCTCCAGAGATGAAGTGAAACGTTATTTCGTTCGTGAACGCCGAATTCTATTTGTTGTTAGCCTTGTGATTATTATTTTTCTTTAACTTTGTTCTTCTTTTGAAAGTATTACCGGGGGGGGGGGGGGTGGAGGGGGCTCACAGTACCTGTAGCCCAGGGGCCTACAACATCTTCATCTGTCCCTGCACAGGAGATATTCACAGTCTCCGCCGCACGCGCGGCACACGCACAGTCCTCGCTGGCCGCCAAACAAAGACAAATCTCCCTCTCTCCCCTCCCTCTCTCCCCGGCCTGCGTGTGCTCGCTGCTCTCTTTCTCTCTCTCGCCCTGCCGCTCCCTCTCGGCTGGGAACACGCGAAGTCGACAAAATCGCCGCTGGCGGCGCGGCGCGTGCGGCAGTGGCGGCTCGCGACGGGGAGCGGCGCACGCAAAGACAAAGAGGCCCCGTATAGCCTCGACAGGCGTTTGGGGGCAAGTGCGGTTAGCGAGTAGCACCTGTGAAGGCCGGGACGCCACACGAGAGAATGGGGTGGCTCGCGCCACACCCGGCCGCCTTTGTCTTCCCAGTGGCGATGTTTACATGACGCACCGGGTACTAATTTGAGGTTGAGTCGACCTAGGGGACGCCCATGACCGATTTAGATAATCGCTACTGGTGTTGGAGTGTCATGAGCAGGAATCGAACTCGGGTGGTCGGGTTTGTAGCGCAGCGCGCTAACCATCACACCCATCGCGACACACGCACACACACACACTTAACAAAAACACAGACACACACCCACACCGACACACGCACACATACACACGTAACAAAAACACAGACACACACACCGACACACGCACACACACACACATAACAAAAACACAGACACACACACGCGTAGCCACGCGCGTGTGCGCGCTCGCGCGCTCACACACCGACACAGCCACCGACACGCACACCGACACGCACACCGACACACACACACCGACACACGCACCGACACACGCACCGACACACACACACCGACACACACACCGACACACACACACCGACACGCACACCGACACACACACACCGACACACACACACCGACACGCGCACCGACAACAACAACCGCCATTCGCCACTAAGTGGCGGTGACGTCACCACGACGCTTGTGCCAGGCCATGTGCACCTTGAGGCCACGTGAAGTGTCGAACGCCCGCTGGCAGGAGGTCACGGGGCAGACCCAGGTGCCACGGGTCGACTGACTGAGATGACCGAGATGACTGGCTGATGCACCACCTGTGCCCCCTACTGTGCCAACTTGCTGTGCTTTAGCCACCCGGCGCTCCGCTCGTTGTTGTGAGCGTCGCTCCTCCGCCCTCCGTTGTTGTTGGAGGGTGACTGCCTACAACTGCCCAGTAGCGTCCTTCACGAGCCTCCTCCACAGAGGCCGATCTTGACACCGCTGCTACCAGTCATCGGCAAGTCCACTCAGCTCCACGTCCTCCTGTACCACATCACTCCATCTATTCTCTAGCCCGTGCCGCGCCCGTTCAGCCCCTCGATCCGGCCGAACAAAAGCTGTTTAGGCATGCGGTGGCTGGGCACGCGGGCTACATTACCCAGCCAATGCAGCCTTGCCTGCCGGAGGAGCTCACCGATGGGACTTTGCCCAGATCTTTCAAGGATTTGTGAGCTCCTCACACAATCCAGCCTGGTTAAACCCAGGATGGATCGTAGGCAGGCCAGCCTAAATGTTTCCAACCGGCGCACCGACACACACACCGACACACACACACCGACACACACACACCGACACGCGCACCGACACACACACACCGACACGCGCACCGACACACACACACCGACACACGCACCGACACACACACACCGACACGCGCACCGACACGCGCACCGACACCCGCACCGACACACACACACCGACACGCGCACTGACACGCGCTCCGATACGCGCACCGACACACACACACACCGACACGCGCACCGACTCACACACACACCGACACGCGCACCGACTCACACACACACCGACACGCGCACCGACACGCGTACGCGCCGCCTTAGGGACGGGGGTGAGTGTGGAGGTGGTGCAGGGGAAGGAGGAACAGGGGGAGGGGTGAGCCCAGCCTGGGGAGGGGCGGGTGAGGAGGGGGGGCCGCGCCCGCAGCGGCACGCGCCCGACCGCGCCTCATTTGCATAACAAGAGGCGAGTGTCAATAGAGGAGCGTGGTGGGGGGGGGGGTAGAGGCTGGGTGGGTGGGGAGGGTCGCACGCGCACGCACGCGCGCGGCCCCGGGCCACGGGCGCGCGCCGCGGAGTCGCCGCCGCCGCCTTTATAAGAGGCGCACGCGCGCGGCACGAGCCACACGCCGCTCCCTCCTCCTCCTCCTGCTCCTCCTGCTGTTCCTAGCGAGGAGCCGCTCCGCGAGCCATGATGAGCCCCGTCCTGAGTCGCGCGCCCTTCTCTCCCCACGCCGCATGCCTCTTCGTGTGCGGCGGCGGCGGCCCGAAGGCGTGCCAGCTCAGCAGCCCCGCGCCCATCGACGTCCTCGGTGGCATCGGCAGCTTCAAGCAGGAGCAGCAGCAGCAGCTCGCGGCGTCCCCGCAGCAGCAGCCGCAGCAACAGCAGCAGCCGCGCTCCCCGTCCCCGGAGTTGCTGCGCTGCCGCCGTCGCCTTGGGCTGGCAGCGGCCGCTGCCGCCGCGGGTGGCGGTGTCGTCCCGCACCACCACCACAACCACCACCACCACAACCACCACCACCACAACAACAACCACCAGCAGCAGCACCGCGCTCCGCCCGTGGCGGTGGCGCGGCGCAACGAGCGCGAGCGCAACCGCGTGCGCCTCGTGAACATGGGCTTCGCGGCTCTGCGCGAGCGCGTGCCGCCCGCGGGCACCGCCGCAGCCGCCAGCGCCGCGGCCGCGGCCGCAGCCGCCACCGCGAGCCGCCGCGTGAGCAAAGTGGAGACGCTGCGCGCCGCCGTGGAGTACATCCGCGCCCTGCAGGCGCTGCTCCGCGAGCACGACTCGGCCATGGCACCGTCGCTGCGAGCCGCCGCCTCCCCCGCGACGCTGCTGATGGGGGTCGGCGGCGGTTCCGCGCCCGGCGGCTCCTCCTCGTGCTCTTCCTCGTGCTCCTTGGCGTGCTCCGTGTCGGGGGGTGGCGCCGCGGCGTCTCTGGCGTCGTGCTCGCCAGGCGGCAGCTCCCTGTCGGACGAGACCTCCTCCTCGTCCTCCTCTTCGTCCGACGAGCCGCTGAGCCCCGAGGAGCAGGAGCTGCTCGACTTCGCCAGCTGGTTCTAGGGCGCCAGCACGGCGGTGAGTGCCGCCGAGTTCGCCGCGTGGGGTGCGTCGCGGCGGCTCCGAGCAGGCTGCGTGCGGCTCGGGCGAGGTGCTCCTCCAGGCGGGATTGGGTTGCCACGCGCATCGCGGAGTTCGCGTCGGGGTGGTGACTCCAGCCGGGGTCATCGTTGGGCCCAGCGCAGTCGGTGCCATAGAGTCGGTCGATGACTCGGCCACACTCGGTGGAGAACGATCAACTCCAATGAGTTTAATCCAATGAGTTTGGCGATGTGCTCACGTAAGAGTTTCTAATGAAGCATATTTTAGATGCGCGCGTGTGTGTGTACCAATTCAGCTCGTGATGGATTCTTCACTAAAGGTCGCGGCGGCTCGTTACTAATTAATCAGGGCGCCTGCTCGATGTAACAACGCCAAGGGAATGTAAATAGGAATACGAAAGGGGGGTCCAGGGAGGGGATAGGGGCACGCGGTCGATGAATCCGATGCCAGGGCCACAAATCGCGCAGAGGCAGCGGCAGGGCTCACGTCGCGTGCCCAGATCATCCGCGCTGCGCTCACGCGGAATGCTTCACCTGGAGCTGCGCACTCTTAAATCGCCTCGATGGAAAACTCATTTCTGAGCTTGTTTGTGTTTCGTTTGTTATTCTCCCCACCCACACCGCCCCCACCCCCCGGCCGCGTACGGTGCGAACTAAGTTCGACATCGACGAGTGCAGCTCGGTTCACTCTGTGTGACGCGCGAGCGAGTCGGAGGGCCGTGCGTCTCTTTGACCGTGCCGCCCCCCTCTCTCCCTTCGTCCCGCAGGATTCCTCCGAGCTCGCCGCTTCACGTCGCCCGCGTCTGGCACTTGAGCATGGAGAGAGCGAGCGAGCCGTGCTCCCCATCCGAGAAATTGCACTGACCCTTGGAGACGACACTCAGAGATGCCCTCCACCCCGAGACCTCGTTTTTACTCCTCGACTCAAGACCACGGACTCCCCCTGCCTCTATCCGGCTGTGGGACACCGCCGCCGCTGCCTTAATGAACATTAGCACCCCACCCATCCCTGCACCGCCCCACCAACCCCCAACCCACCCCTGGCGTGGCGAAGGGAGCTTAAAGTGACTCGCAGGCAGCCAATAATTGGCCGTAGCACGGTGACGCAATGCTACGGAGGAGCTCGACACTGCACCGTGACGCTTGTCTGCGTGGTCGTGCTGGAGAATTTGAAGCGAGTTGTGGCTTTTTTTTGCGACCGAAGCTGTCGTCCCACAGTCGCCCACGGTTGTGCGCGACTGTGGGCGACTGTGTGTGTGTGTCGGCTTGGAACGCGGCAAATGCCGAATGGGTCCGTCGAAAATACGGCACTTCGAATGCCCCACGCTCAGTTAAGACGACGGTCGGTTTGCCCGTTCGAGCAATTTCCAAAGTGTGGCGTTAATTTGTTGTTGAGCCCATAGGCCATAGTTCAACGTCACGGCATTCCGCCGCGTGTGGTGTCATCTCTGACCCGGGGTTGTTCGTGATCATTGCCCATCGGCGACAGCGAGCGAGGGAGGGAGGGCGGAGAGAGATGCTACGGAGCTCAGCAGCTGGACAGCTCCGGCTGAAATCAAGTCCTGCGTATGAACCACTTTGGCAGTCTTCACCACTGCCCTTGTTAAGAATTTCACTCCGAAACAAATGTGCCGTGTTAGAACGCTGCCCATGGAGGGCAGGGGGACGGGGGGGGGGTATTTTGTAATATGATACAATAGATTGTGCTCTAATTTTGGATGCGTATTTTATTTTGTACATAAGAGAATTTATATTTTGTAAATTGTGTACGTTCTGTAATTATTTTTGTTTGTTTAAACAATGAGCCGTTGCCAGCTGTGACACTGCCAGCTCTGTGGTCCAGAAGCATTTCACGCGATAAAGTCCCCAGATAGTCGGCGCCCGGTGCCACTGTCTACGCGGTCTGGTGATCCCAAACCTCTCACGGCTTTTGGTTGGGTTACGCGGTGCTTTCCTTAGGTCGGTTTGTGCGTTACTACTACTATTATTATGGGTCTCGTCTAAGGAGCTGTTAAATTATAGAGCACATTAAAAATGTGTAGACGTGAAACTAGGGCTTATTATTTAAATCGTGATAGAAACACAACGTTTGTACAATTTCAGGGTTTTGATATGTTTGTATAAATTCAGCACATACTATGCAGAAATCGTCTCTGGTGTATTGCCGGAAGGGGCTATTTTTGGAAATAAAATAAAGACATTTTTATATATATATTTGAACGTTGCTTTGGGCTGTTTATCCGTCCGTTCGTGTACAGCACGCACACAATGTCCCCTTGACGAAGGTACAGGGGCGCAGCGCCCGCCAAAGTCTCGCTCACGCCACTGCTACTCGCGCAGGGCCTCCGCTCTGTCCCGACGTCTTTGGCGCAGAGGGCAGTCCCCACACTTTACCCCACGACAACGACCACCTCCGTTGACCGCATAACCGGTGCACCCATTTGTATTTTGTGACTGACAGAGGCGGGGCCGGTGTACGATCATACCACACTGCACTCGCTCTCATCCACTTGATTTTGACACAGTGTGCCAAGTCAACTCAAATGTTACATTTGACCAGGTGAAGCCCACTGAGCTATTGGCTATGTTTTAGCGGCGACCTGGCCACACGCTCGTCGAAGTGGCTTTTATCCATCATCATCATCACACGTGGGAATCGTCGCAGCAGCCAAAACAAACTAAACGCACGTTTCTAAAGGTGGAGGGCAAAACTGGAGGACCCGGACTAAAAGCCACGCGACCACCACGGGGAGAGAGAACACTCCAAATGTACAATAACAGACATCGTCAGGGTCGGGATTAAACGCACAACCTCCTGCATGGCAGGCAAGGGAGACGGTATCTCGCCGTCGCGTGATGAATGGATGGCCGGAGTGGATTTGGAGTGACGAGACCCTGCCAGGAGAGAATTGTGGTACACCACAGAACCTGTCAGGAGAGAATTGTTGAAACACCACAATGGTAGACCACAGAACACCACCGCTACAAACACAACGCGGTTACAAGTGAAACATTGTTTAAACAGTTATAGTCCCTTTGATTACCGCACTCTTCCGCACGGGAAAGGGAATTATCTAAAAAAAAAATGTAATCCACCCATGCTTGGCCATTTGACATCGTGTTGCGATCCCCCCGCATCGCCGATTAGCACGGTTGGCTACGTAAGGCGCGAAAGAAGTTCAGCATACACACATTAAGGAGTTCATAAAGATGTTCATTTTTGCAAATCGTTCTTTACAATAGACTTGCTTTCCATCGCCTCCCCCCCCCCACTTGGTTTCCCAAGGAAAGTTGTGTCGCATGATATTTTGCTTGCACACAAATGTAAAGTAGAGTTTTAATAAGTTAATCATCTACAAAATGATGTTCCAGAATATACATTTTAATGTATGTATCTTGTTTATTTCAGCAGGAAGAGCCCGATGAGCTATTAGGCTCCATTTAATGGGCGTCCTGCGAATGAAACAAGCCACAGTGGCATCAATTGCATTGCCCTCGGTGACCACCCGATGTGGACAACCTCATGTCGACTTAAACTCACAAACCCTCGAGCTCTGAGCACCTCAAAGCGCAGCCACAACCTGCGGCCTCGGACCCGCGTGCCGCTCTTCAAGGATTGCGTCACCGTGACGTCATGTATCAGGCACAACCATCGAGTCTGATTCACCACGAAGTGCGTTGCGGATCTTGAAATTCTAGATTTGAAGCTTTCGTGACTGCAAGGATTCATATTCTTAGGTTTTTTCGGTAAAGTCACGTAAGTAAAATAAATAAATTAATAAAAGTAAAATAAAAATAAAATAAAAATCACGACGTTTCGGAGGCAACACAAGCTTCCGTCTTCAGATGGAACCGTCACAGCACGCTTGCTGTATCAAGTAAATGAGAAATTCCAAGAGATACTACCCCGTAAATATACTGGTTGAGGTGGGGGATGAGCCAGGACAGGCACCCTTTTTATTATTATGGTAAGGTTGGTGACTTTTCCGAAAAAACCTAAGAATAAGGATCTTGAAATATTGAGGTATTTATTTTTCAGAATTCGAACAAAATGGCTCTTCTTGTTTATGTTACCCAATAAGCGAGTTCAGCAGAATTGTCATGGTCATTGACTGAATCCTTCATGACATCGATCTACTGACCACCTTACATCACCTGTACCCTGCTCAAGGGAGAGCTGTGGTGCAGTGGTTAGCACACACTGCGGGATGATTCCAGAGACCCGAGTTCGATTCTCAGCGATGGCATCAGTCATGACAACCTCCCCCTTTCACTTCATTGCACCAACCCACACATATACCAGCACGGTCAAGTATGGTCAAACAACCCCCACAACCAACAGGACATGGAGAGGATGTTATTCGGTAATTGATTGACAAAAGGATGTACATTATATATATATATGTGGTGTATGTTTTATACTGTTTTATCTATCTTCTGAAAATTAATCAGCTGGACATAAATGGTCAATTAAATTATTGATACGTGCACCGTGAAATCATTATTTATTGCCACTTTGTGCTGCAACTTTCAATACACTGACCATGTAAAGCCTCGACCCTGTGTCCAATCGGGGTCAGTAGCCACTGAAAAACCGAGTCCCTGATTGACTTGAAAAGTGAACACCACTGTTTGTGTAGAAGCACACTAAACTATAAACGAAACATGTTTTTTTCTTTACCACGTAATGCCCACTGAGCTATTCGTTACTTTTCACAAGCGACCTGGCCACAAATGATAGCATAACGAAGTGGCTTATCACGTGGACATTTATCGCAGCCGCCAGATAACTGCCCCAACTGACAGCCTCATGGGTGCCCGCCGATCCCCCTGAACCTCACAGCCACGAGATATCGGAGCGGGGCTCTGTTCACTCAGTGGTGCTGATAACGTTCACATTCAGCACCACAAGTCGGAAGTCTCATCCTTGCAGGTCCCCGTTGTGGTGTCATCTCCCTTCATCACATCGCCTCTCAATTCCGTTATACATAAGGATTGTGTTTCACCGCACTTGTGTCAGAAGTTGCCCTTTGCCTTCGCACCACCAGGGTGATGTAAGCACGTGTTGTTTATATCAAAACTGTGCTTTTTTAAGGTGTGTTTATATCCGGCGTCAACTGCATTTTTGACATCCATCAGGCACCTTTTATGCAAGTCATTGAAGGTGCACAGGTTTTATCATATTAATAACAATTTAGGGGCGCCGTGGTGGCGAGATGTTATCTCCATCGCCTGGTATGCAGGAGAGCGTGAGGTCGATCCCAACCCTATGTGGAGTTTGCATGTCTCTCTCCCCGTGGTGGCGTGGATTTCTCTCCTGCTTCTTCGGGTTTTTTCCTTTCCAAACTTAGAAACATGCGTTTAGAGTATTTAGCTGCTCTACATTTCCACAAGATGTCACTTCGTTGAACTATAATTTGCGGCCAGGTCGCTTCTGAAAAAGAGATATACAGCTCAGGGGGCTTACCTGGTAAAATGACAATAGTTTATCGTGTTCTATTAGCGTCATCCATCGTGAAAATGCACAATCGCTGAGCAAATATAGAAAAGCTGTCAGCCAGTCAGGCAATGAATCGGCGTCAACAATTTCCCAAGCTCTGCGGTCCTCCGCATATCAAGGTGATTTCAGGCAATTATTGAGTGTTTTATAAATTTGGTAGGAAATTGGAGCGCACGGAGAAAACGCACACGTGCCAGGGTGCAACACTCTATCCCATACACAAGCGACACAATATTAGTCTGCACGTTGCTGTACCGACCTTGCCTGTTAAGCCAGGGCACAGCACGTGGACTCCCACGAGTGCTGGATTACGAAACCACCATCGCCCGGCTAATGGTGGGTTTGATGGGCACCCCTGCAGGTCCGAGGGCTCACAGATAAGATGATAATGCGCGCGAGGTCTGCTCTGTGATGAGCAGGAGCCTTTCTTTAACCATTTGGGCCGATGTAATTAGTTGGAACATTGTGCGGCGTACGCACAAAAACATATTATTCTGCTTCTGGACATTAACGGTATGAGCATCTCCACGCACACGTGACCGCGGAAGTCTAGAAGAGTGGCTCTTCATTCCAAGGCCCGAGGCCCACTGGCGGCCCCTGGTGGCCTTTAGTGCGGCTCCTGACGTGCGGCCTTCTGACAACACACAACGAGTGACAACAACCCCCATCATCATCATCGTGCTGCTGTCCAATTCCAATGATTTCAAATGTGTGTCGGCCCTCACACTGATGATGTCCCATCGGCGAAAGTGAATTGTGAAGAACACTTCTCTGGCATGTATTTGGCCATCTTTCCCCGCTCCCTCTAGATTCTAGAGGCGGCCCCTGGTGGCGTCTAGATTCTAAAGGGAGCCTCTCTACAGCTCTCCGCGAGAGAGCTCCCTCCAGTGGCGACCCTTCCGTCAGCAGTGGCACCAGGGAGAAATTGCAGGACTGCGCTTTTACCGTTAATTGGTGAACACCCAAGTAGGATGCGTGCTGCATGCGATGGGGCTGTGAAGGGAGCGGTGGTGGAGCGGTTAGCGCTACGCTGCGCTACGAACCCGGCGACCCGAGTTCGCTTCCCGCTCACAACCAACACCAGTGACGATTATCTGAACTGGTCCCGGGCCTTCCCTAGGTCGACTCAGCCTCAAATGAATACCTGGTGTAGTGCGTGAACATTGCCACTGGGGAGACTGAAGCGGCCGGGTGTGGTGCTGTCCACCCACCCCCACGAGTGCCGCGCCTCCCTTCATAGGTGCTCGCTCACAGCACTTGCCCCTACAGTCTGTGACCGCTATACGGATGACCTTTGTCTTTGGATTATTTGCAGACAAATGCCCGGCTTAGCACCCCGTGGGAGGGTGCTACGCCAGTATGGAGGATCACATTCCCAACAGTTACCTGTGTGAGGAAACAATAAGAATAGGCTGTACCCCTTCTGGCAATCTCACCTACAAAAGGCATTTTTTGTCTGTACGTCTGTCTGTCTGTCTGCGCACGCTTGCGAGGGAATTGGCTCTCAAACGGTGGGGTTTTCGCAGAATTTTTTTGTCAGACAGCACGCCATAAGCCCCGCGGTGGGCAAGCGCTGTGCCGTTTCCCGTCACTCACCTTGAAAATAGTAAAAATTGTTTTTTGGCGATTTTTCTTTCTTTATTTAGTTAGCACGCAATTGCGCATGCGCGAAACGCTGACAGGAGTTGCCC